TAACTTTCTGCTTTCGTCTGCGACGGGACACGGTCTTTGGACTTCCAGGTTTTAGGCGAAATACGTGTTGCCCGTGATGCTTTGGTACAAATCACCTCAAGACTGCGAGCGAACCTGTATAGAGAGAAAACTGACCGCTCTGACGACTATGGATACCAGAGATCCACTTCCCCGTTGTCGAACTTCGGTTTGCAAGCGAGTCAGCCACCCGGCATTCAAGCTCCGAGAAGTCCTCCGTCATGGTTACTACAACAGGTGCTCATTCCTCCCCCCTCGTTTAAATCTCGACTGACAAGTTTTCTTCCATGTCTAGACCGAAAGAGGAGCCTACAATGGTTTGCCACGGCTTACAAGCTATGCTGGAATCGAGAGAAGCTATGGCTTGGCAGGAGATCGTTCGGCCTTGCCGACTGGCCTTACCAAGTAAGTCACTCTATACAACGTCAGTATCTTAAATTCGAAACTTCTTTGCAGCCTCAGCGTTGTCACGTCAACCAAGATCGATGTTCTCATCCCTGAAGTCACTTTTTCTGCTGTTCTTGGACAAAATGGAGACAACTTGACACAGATTTCCAAGGTGAGCTCCTGTTTTCTAGAACGGCAATCAAGAACACAAGTCTCTATGCAGATGTCCGGAGCTAAAGTCACTCTCGCCGATGGATGCACTGCCACCGGCGATAGATTGATCGAGATATCTGGGACTCCAGATCAAACCAACATCGCCAAAACGGTCGTGGAAGCATTCGCGGCGTCTGGAAACAAGAGGAGCTAGCGAGAAAGGAGTTATTTAGGAATAAAAATTGTGTGTGAAAGAAAGATTACATTACTTTGCAAAGAACCCTAAAAACAGAGCGCAACTCTGTTTTTAGGGCTAGAAGAATTCTAGGAATTTAGGGTGCACTCAAGGAGGAGAGCGAGCGGCAGGCCATCGATTCTACCGCTGCATTGCGGAAGCGAGCTCGAAACAGGTGATCGCCTTGCGAAAACCCGCCTCCTCGAGGACAGTTTCTCAGGATCGCCGCTCCATTTGTCCACTGACACAGGCGAGTTTGTTTCCCCGTGCTGGAATCGCAGCGATCGAGGCCAGCAGCGGGTCAGGGGCGAGCGTGGCGTCACTGCGCGCTCGAATCAGGCGAGCGCGGCGAGATTTCTCGGGTGGATTGGGCTACAGGGACGACATTTTCGTTTTAAAGGTAAGGGGGAAATTTTCTTCTTTTTTCTCCCTTTGGTTTTTGGTTTGAGGACGATGATGATGTCACGTGATTAGGGTTTGTTGTTTGGTGCAAGAAAAGAGAGCGAGGCGGGGAGATGGTGGAGTGAGAGGGGAGGAGGCGCCGCGCGAAGCGAGTGGAGAATCACAGGAAGAAAAGAGAGATGAAGATGCGTATGGGGGCGCCGAAGCAGAAATGGACAGCAGAGGAGGAGTGCGCGCTGCGCGCTGGCGTCGAGAAATATGGCCCAGGGAAGTGGAGGGCGATCCAGAGGGATCCAAAGTTTGGACCAGCGCTTGTCGCTCGCTCAAATGTGGATCTTAAGGTGCGTGGAATCGTTTCTCTGCTTGCTTTGCTTTCTTTCTTTTGCTTGGTTGTTTCTTTCTCTCATCAAAGTTGGTTTTTTTTTTTTTTGCTTTTCCTTGGCGTTCTGACAGTTCTTTGCTGCAGGACAAATGGCGAAACTTGAGCGTTAGTTCCGGCCAGCCGCGGATTCCCAGGTCGAAGGTGCGTCGTGTGTCGAAATCCTCGGAGCGTACTGGCTCCGGGAAGAACCTCAGTGGCAGCAGTGATTCCGAAGAGGGAGAGGGAGAGGAATATGAAGATGAGGACGAGGATGGGAACGAAACGCCTCCAGTTTACAATCAAAGGAAGCAACTTGGCTCCAGGTATGCGGGAAAGGCTCCTTTTTCTTCTTTCATCTGTATCTGGCTGTGTGTTGCAGGTACGATGAGCTCGTGTCTGAAGCCATACTCACACTCAAAGAACCTAATGGTTCAGACATCTCGGCAATCGCAAACTACATCGAGGTGAGGAGTTTTCTTTTGCTCTCGCTCTTGCCTCACTGTGTTTCCTTTTCGCTTCTCAGGAGCATCAGAGAGTACCATCTAGATTTCGGAAGTTACTCACCTTGAAGTTGAAAGCTTTGACGGCTCAAGGAAAGTTGGTAAAGGTACGAAACTATATCTCAATTTTACTGTTCAGTCTAAAGATCAGCGTGATAGCCAGGTAGGTAAATCATTCAAGGTGCGAGACTACTTGTTTTTCGGCAAGACAGCCAAGGGCACACGGTTACGACGGCAAGATCTGGACGAGACGTCGCCAAAATTCCTGAGAACCGCAACCGCGTTCGACTTGAGTAATGCCAGGTCGAAGATGAAGACGGCGGAGGAGGCTGCGAGGCTGGCCGCTCAAGCCGTCGCAGACGCCGAGGCCGCCGCCGCCGCAGCCGAACAAGCAGCTAGAGAAGCCGAGGCCGCCGAGGCCGTGGCCGAGGCTGCCGCCGAAGAAGCCGTAGCTCTGGCTGCAAGGTCCGGGAAAGGTATGTCTCTGTTTACTTCCATCCTTTCGAGTTTTTGTAAGTTTTTTGTTTTGTTGGTGTGCTTTGCAGATCTAATAGCAGCAGCTCCTGTGCCTAGCGAAGCACTCCCCGTAGTTGCTGCCATCTAACTCTCCCTCGCCTGGGCGGTCGCATTTTTGGGAAAAGCTGGTTTAACTTTGGTGTCCGTGTGGGTCGCTACGACGACCCTTTGTCAACTCACAAGTAAAGCAAAGGCAAGTAAGCAGTGCATCCAAAAACATCATCTCATTCACCATTGCTACCACTTCATCACTCATCACACCATCTGTAATTTATGAGAGGGACAGAAAGGGAGAGATAGAGCACGATAGAGACAGGGAAAGAAAAGTTTGTATGTTAAAACCACAGGAAGGCTTTGTAATTCCAATAGATTCATTCACAGCGAGAGCTTTCTCGCTTCCAAACGCGCGCAAAGTTCTTTTTCTCTCGTGATCTAGCGAAAGTTCGCGTGATCTAACTCGGCTCGCTGTAGAACGCTTGCAAGCTCGTCCTGCGCAGCGGCTCGCCGCGGAGCGACGCAAACGTCGTGTCGAGGATCTTCACTGCGACGTAATCGCCGGGCTTGGTGTCCACCAAGTCGCCGCTTTGGTGGTCCGGGACTGGAGCTCTGGAGAAGAAGACTTTCTGGCCGCTGTCGCAGCGTCCTCCCCACTCGTTGGGATTTCTCTTGTTTGGAGCCTCGATGAGAACGAGCTGCGTCTTCCCGAGCTGGGAATGGTACCTGGCGGCGGATGATCTCTTGAAAGTGGCGATGAGCTCCGAGAGGCGGCGCTGCTTCACTTCCTCTGGAACGTCGTCTACGTCGTGCCTGTGCGCTGGAGTTTTCTCGCGCATGCTGTACGCGAACATGTAGGCCATCTCGTAGCCGACGGTCTCGACGATGCTGAGAGTTTGGAGGTGATCTTCTTCGGTCTCACCGCAAAATCCTGAAAGAGAAAAAATTCGAACTTCGAGCAAGCAGAAAAAACGAAAAATTTTCTACCTGCGATGAAGTCGCTGCTGAGAGCTACACCCGGGATGATCTCCCGTATCCTCTCCACGAGCTCGAGATACGCCTCGCGAGTGTAGCCTCGTCTCATCCTCTCCAAAACCCGCGAGCTCCCGCTCTGGACCGGCAAGTGGATGCTGTTGCAGACGTTGTGCTGCTCTCTCATCACGAGCAGCAAGTCGTCCGGGAAGTCCTTGGGATGAGGCGACGTGAACCGGAAGCGCATCTCGGGATACGTCTCCGCCAGGCACTTGAGCAAGCTCGCGAAACGCAGACCCGACTCGTTGGTGCGATAGATCGCCGAGAAACCCGAGCTGAGAACGTCCGACTGGAAGTACTTGATCGCGTGCTTGCCTTGTCCCACGACCACAGCCTCGCTCTTCTTCGTCTTCTTCTTTTCCTCCTCGCGGCGTTGTTCTTCGTCAGGAGTGTCCTCTTCTCCTTCTCTGATTCCCGGAGTGTTGGAGAGATCGCAGTAGCTGTTTACGTTCTGCCCCAGGAGAGTAACTTCCTTCACGCCCTGCTCCCACAGCTCCCCAACTTCTCTCACGATGGATTCCAGCGGACGCGAGCGCTCGCGTCCCCGAGTGAAAGGAACAATGCAGAACGAGCACATATTGTTGCAGCCTCGCATGATCGACACAAAGGCGGTCACCGAGTCCTTGGCGATCCTCACCGGCGAGACGTCGGCATAAGTTTCTTCCAGCGAGAGCAAAGTGTTGATCGCCTGCTGGCCCTGCTCCACCGAAGAAAGCAGCCTCGGAAGATCCCTGTATGCGTCGGGGCCACAAACCACGTCCACCATCTTGTCCGCCTCGATGAGCTTCTCTTTGAGCCTCTCAGCCATGCAACCGAGAACCGCGACCTTGGGAGGAGGCCTGGAAGATTTGGTTCCATTCTTCCTCCAGTTAGATTTGATGTGCTTGAAGTAGTTTAGACGCTGCCAGATCTTGTTCTCGGCGTTGTCCCGGATGGCGCAGGTGTTGATGAGGATCACGTCCGACTCCTCGGGGAGCTGGACGATGTCGCCATAGCCGGCCTTCTTCATGATCGCGAGAACCACCTCTAGATCGTTGAAATTCATCTGGCAGCCATACGTTTCCAGATAGAGCTTCCTTCCTTCCAGGATCGACGAGGGCGAGGAAGGCGATTCCTCGGCAGTGCTGGGAAGAGGGAAAGGGAGACATCCATAGAAATCCAAGAACAAAAATCTGCGCTCTTACGGCAGAATGGCGATGCTTGCTGCCGCTCGCACGCCGCGATTCGCGAATCTCAGCCGCGCCCTCCCTGTATTCCAATGCTCGCTGGCGAATGTGGAGGCCGCGACGCACAGGCTCCTCCCTGGCACCATAGCCATTTCCATCAATCCTCCATAAACCCTAAAACCCTACTTTATCTTTACCTTTATCCCCTTGCGAGTAGAATTAGGGTTCTTCGTGCGATGGAGAGTCCGGGCATTGCCGAGCTCGATCTCTCGGACGAGGATGACGCTTTGGAGCCAGAAGAAGAGGAAGCGCAAGAGCAACGCCCTGCCGACGATCTAGAAGTCGAGATTGTCCAGCAGCGGATCGTCTTCATCATCCCCGCGTTGCCTCCGAGGCCGGAGATCCACAAGAACAGGAGGAAAGAGAAGCGGCAGCGGCAGCGCGATCGCGATCGCGGCCAGAATCCAGAGCAATCGCAGGAGAGGCAGAGGGAGAGGAAGCGCCAGAGAAAGGAGATTATCGTCCCAAGCATCAATCCAGGGGCCTTGGCGAGATTGCTAGCGCCGGGCCAGGAGGAGAATCTCATTCACAGGACCAAGACACTGTTTTTGAGAAAGAGGGTGGAGAGAAGAGGAGGATTGCGACTGTGGCTGGGCTCCAAGGGGCTGGGAAGGTTTGCGCGGCTCTTCCAGGAGCACAAGATCGATGTGAGCGAGCTCTCGCATCTCACCATGGATGCTCTCAAGCAGATTGGTGTTCTTCCAGTCGGGCCTCGCAGAAAGCTTATCGCAGCGATCGAGAAGCTGTGCATCTGAGCGCTTGGACGACGAACGAAGAACAAAATTTCAAAGATTGGAACTTACAAATCTCAAATGGTGGTTTCGTATTTAGATTTCGTTCGAGCGAATCATCATCTCCGTGCTTCGAGCTTCTTGGCTTCCTTGGCTGCGAAAACAAAGAGATTCTTGTTTAGCTTCCAGTGGATGGATTGGGAAAAATCTTCTTTTTACCAGCTTTTTCCTCTTCGCGTTTCTTCGCAGCCTCCACCCTCTGCTGTCTGATCATTGCTAAGCGTTCTACAGCAAAAACCACACTGTAAAGAGAGAAGAAAAGAGAAGAAACTTTACCAAGATCCTTTCGAGCTTGCTCAGTTTTTCCTTGCTCCTGGAGTTTGAGATAGCGTTCATGTGCTCTTTGCTTCTCAAGCTCCTCCCTGATCGATCAACGCAAAAGTCAGTTTTTTTTCAAAGATTCTAAAAAAGTTCTCTTTACCTTTCGCGTCTCGAGAGCTCGGTTGGTCTGTCCAACTACAAAACGAATGGAATAAACGCGATTTCGAAAGCTACTCACTTACATCAACATCTTTCGCTTTGGTCCCTTTGGCTTTCGCCAAGTTGGGATTCTCCACTTCAATCACGCCTTGAGTGCCTTTCTTCTTCTGCGAAAGAAAGAGCATAACAAAACCAAATGAGAAGATCAACAATAAAAAACGATGAACGAATACCTCCGGCTCCTCTTCCGATTCTGCCTCAGACTCCTCGGACTCCTCCTCTGGTTCCTCTTCCTGAAGAAAAAGCGAAGAAAAAAACAAAGAATCGATAGAGAAATCACGACATAGACTCGAGCAAAGCGCGCCTTACCCGTCTAAATGTGCGAGGCTTCCCAGACGTGCCAGCAGCTGCGTGAATGCGATCAATTCAGCTCCAAGATAGGCAAGCGAGGAAGAAATACGTTACCCATCTCTTCCGGCGTGGAGAAATTTCGCTTGCCCGTAGGCTTTCCCTTGAACTTCCCGCGGCCTCCGCCCTTCCCCATGACTGGCGAAAGCGCAGCTCCACCGCCGAGAGCGCCTTGGAGCAATAGAGATCCACAATAAACAAACCCTAAAACTCGGAGGTCTCGAGTTCGATTCCAATAAGCCCAACAAAAACGTGAACCCTAAAACAGAGTAAATTGAAAATTAGGGCCTTTTCTGTGAGCTATGGCGTCTTTGGCGCCAGGCTCCTTCCTCTCTCCGCTTAATCCGATCGCGTCCAGCAGGAACACGAGGATTTCAGTGCAATGCGGGCGCGGCATTGGCTATCTGAGCGCTGGATCCAGTCAATCGTTGAAATTAGGTTCGATTTTGGTGGCAGCAGCAGCCGCGGATCCAGATACTTCGGCGGCAGCAGCTAAGTCTGACGACTACAATCGAGCAATGCAGCGGCAGATGAGGAATCCGTATGAGTATCACCACGATCTAGGTCGGTGTTCTTCCTCTCCTCGTTTCCATTTGTCTAGTTCGTGCTGGAATTTGTGTGGATTGAGGGTAATGCAGGCATGCATTTCACTGTGATAGAGAAGAATCTCATCGTAGGTTCGCAACCGCAGTGCAAAGAGGACATCACTCGCCTGTACGAGGAAGAAGGCGTCCGGGCGATCCTCAACTTGCAGCAAGACAAAGATGTCGAGTACTGGGGTATCGACTTGCCCGCGATCATGAAACAATCTGCCTCTCATGGCATCGCTTACTTTCGTATCCCGGTACGCTTTCTCATATTTGCTCGATCTTTGCGTTCTACTCCTCGATGGCATTCTCAGTTTTGCTCGATCTTTGTTTTACTTTGGTTCCAGGCGCGAGACTTTGATCCAAACTCGCTACGCAACGAGCTGCCAAGAGCAGTAGCTGCTCTCGAGAGCGCGATCTCCAGCGGCAGCGTTTATGTCCATTGCACCGCCGGCCTGGGAAGATCACCGGCAGTGGCCATTGCCTACCTCTACTGGTTTTGTGACATGGATGTAAGTAGAACTTTGCTCTTTTTCTTCTTCAAGCTTGGCATTTTTCTCTTCCAAATCTTAGTTTTGTTCTTCCAGATGGACACCGCGTACTCACTGCTCACATCCAAGCGCCCGTGTGGGCCAAAGAAAGAAGCGATTCGTGGCGCCACTTATGATCTAGCGAACGACGATCCATTCAAGCTTCCGCTGGAAAAGCTTCCAGAGGATGCCTTCACGGACGTTTCCGAAGAAGAAAGAAGACTAATCCAACAGCGCGTGAGAAAGCTTCGGTAGAAGTTCTACAATCATGGGAATAAATTTTAATAGATTTTAGGGCTCTTGGCACTATGAGCCCTAATTCTTGGCGATGATGGAGGCCGCCTACGATCGGCGGAGGTATGACCAGCATCATCCAACGCGGCCGCCGCCCCCCAATCCGTCATCGTCATCGTTCTATCCTCGTCTCCCGCAGCAAGCGCCGGCGCCTCCGACTGTGAATCGCGCGGCGCTGCCGCCCGTGCCTGGAGCTCCTCCTCAATCATGTAAGTCTACTCGCTCGCAGCTCATTGCTGTTGGATCAACGCTTGTTATGCAGCAGGACTTGGTATCAAGGTCGCGCTCAAGCCACAGTATCGAATGGCGCCTCCGGTGAGGATAAAAATCTCTCTTTGGAGGGCAATTCATGGGTTTTCTTTCTTTTTCTTATCAATGGTTTCTTACAGGTGCAATTGTCTCCAGTTATCGGAGAAGTTCCAAGAACATCGATCGCCCAGTTTGATTTCGATTTCGAGCGCAAAGTTATAGACGATGCCGAGAGAGGTGTTCGCACTCAAATCCGGCAACATCAGCTGGCAAATGGCGGTGAGACAGCCTCTGCTAGTGTAAGTTCTTCGCTGTTCTTCGTCTCCAGTGATAGCAATTTTCTTAGCCTTGTGTGATTCTCCTCTTTTGTTCTGTCTTCCAGCAAGCGAACGACGATCCTGTTATCAGCAAATACTTGTCAATGGGATTAAGTAGAGAAGCAGTGTCTTTGGGAGTGGCGGCTTACGGCGATGTGCAGGCTAAGGTACCAAAGTTTCCTCTCTCTTTTCTTGCTTACGTTTCTAGCTTCCAGGTGGTGGAATTTTGCTCTGCGTATAGTCTCCTTAGAGAGATGGGCTTTCCATCCACCGCTGTTGCTGGAGCTCTTGTTATGCACGACAATGACAAGGAGAAAGCACTCGCACAATTTGTATAGATAAGTAGAAGGGTTGTCTCCTTTATCTTCGCAAATTTGGATTAGCAACGTAAACACATCAAATTAATAGGAGCCGTTGGATTTGAGCATTCAACCTGCTTGTTTTAGGGTTTAGGGTATAGCGATGCGAGCGGGCAGCTCAAAGCTTGTAGCGCAGAGGTATGGGAGCGGGAAATAGATTTTCTACGAGGGCTGTCCCCCGGGAAAAAATAGCGCGGGCGTTTCCCAATCGCCCTCGAGAAATAGTGCTAGTTCCTGTGGCATTTGGTAGAGGAAAGCTATTGTTCTATTCCATGAGCTCGCTGGATCTTCGTTTTCCGGTTCCGGGGAACAGGTTGCGAGTTTCCAAGCTGTGCGATCATCTCAAGATCTCCAGTGATCAGGCTAGCCATCTTGACTGTCAATTGTCCATGCACGAGAAACACACCGACGAGTAGCACGTAGAAGGTGCTGCCGAGAGGAAGCTACTGGAAACGCCAGAGTTCTCATCGCCTTTGCGGTGACTGGCACGAAATGGCAGCTCTTTGCGAAGAGAGCTTCGGCTCGGCAACTGGAACCATTGACAGGGACTTACGACTTAAGCGAAAGCGACCGTGTGGAAGTTGCTCTGGTGTTCTTCAAGCTCTACTTTCTAGCAGCTGGTGGTAAGACTTACAGCACTACAGCACTACTTACGGCTCGTTGTTTCTCATCTTTTTCAGAATGCTGGCGCTGTTTAACGTGCACGAGCGGCTCTAGTAAACGATTCAGCTGGACGTGTCTCAACTGGACTGGTTCGTGCGGTGGCTTGGCCGAGCGTCAGCACGGTGCGTAAGAACTTCGCGAGGGACGGGGTTGCTGCTCTCGCCGCTCTGCACGGTGCTGGTCTTGTTCATCGCATCTGGTGGGCGGATGTTCGGATCTGCAAATTCTCTTTTGGCAAGTGATTTCTCTTTTCCATTAAGGTACGTGGATCCTTTGGTTGCTGGTTACAATGTCGCTTGACGGACTCGTTGCTTGAAGTTCTGAGCGTCGATTTTGTTTGATTCGGACTTGAGGACAAAGCTCCGAGGACAAACGTGTTGCTTGTACTCCAATCCGGCAGCAACTCAACGATGACCAGCAAAGACCAAGGGTACCATGCAAGCCAAGGTTCCCCCTCCTGTTTTTTTCTCTCCTGTGCTATGCTTATGTTTGTAAACTTCCAGGCCTTGGAACTTTGGTCCGCTTAGAAAGTCTTGCTTAAACAGATCCAGTGACGAGGAGGAGGAAGGCAGAGGTTGTCTTTCTTATCTCCCTTTTAGTTCCTTCGGCCTTGAACTTAAACCAAGTACGTGCTAGATCTCTCCATTTTGACATGCTCATGTGGTCTCAGGTCCATCATGATGTGTGTGCTAAAGGCATAATAAGCTGGTGCTGGCCTCCAGAAGCTGGAGAGATATGATTGACGCGGGTATCGCCCTCGTTTCACATAAAAGAAGGCTGCCAGTGTGCAGTGACGTCCCCGGCCCTGGCGTTGCATGGCCAGGTTGCTTTGCACGTCTCGTCTGTACTCCACACAAGGTACTATCCACTTATATAAGCAAGATGTGATCCTTGGCTTTTCATTCTCAAACTTTTAAGCCTTGTATGCAGGCTGCGATTAGGAAATCCTAAGAGCTCTGAGGAAAATCCGTCTTGGCAGCACTGCAACTTTGGGGATTCTGAAACAGAGCTAAAGCCGAGCCGCCGACAGTACCCGCATTTATTCCCGCCAGGGCAGCAGCAGCAGCACCGATAAGAAGAAAGGAACATTAGAAAAATGGCCATAACTTACAGCAGCAGCCGCTACAGCATTCCTTGAAGTGTGAGAAGAAGGGAAGATCATAAAAAACATTAGAAATCAGGCCTACTAGTAGCGCAGCTGAACGGGCTCACAGATGTGAGAGCGGAGGAAAGACGCAGTTTGGAAAGGAACAGGTGCCTCTACATTTGGAGCTTGGCCAGCAAAGGAAAGAAAAAAAAGCAGACAGCGATGGTGGCGATGGTGGATTACGGAGAAGGTTTGCTCTTCCAGGTACTTTATACTTACTAGAGCTATGCTGAGACTTTCAAAGGCTATACTACCTAACTGTGCTCTCCAGGTGTGGTTTTCTTTGCGGCAGTCAAAGAGAATTTTTCTCGGTCGCGACTCGGGCGCTCCTGCTAGTAGATCCTAGAAATGCTCCGCCATTATGACAATGGTTTTCGGAGGCGTGGTAGTCTACCACCACTACCAAGTAAGTCAGTCTATAAGATTGTTGTAGCTACCTGGGAATAGCTAACTCCAATCAATCAGGTGGTGTGAATTCGATGGAGCAAGCAAGCGGCCTCTGGAAAAGATAAGAAAGCAGGAGGAAAAAAAAAGAATTTTTGAAGAATTCATTGGCAGTCAGGGGTGGTACTGGTACGATTCGACCGAGATCCTCGTCTAGTCCTCGGCGACGCACGACCACGCAGCCACTTAGTCATTGGGGGGGCACCTTTTCCCAAGCCCGCCCAAATTGCAAGTACCTGGTTGTCCAACAGGGGAGAAAGGAACAGTGTTGGAGCTGTAGCTGGAAGAGCTCACGGGTGGTCTTTAAGCGAGAGAAGATCGCCGGAAGAAGAAGCAAAGCAGGGAAGAAGCGAAAAGAAAAGCCAAGAACAAAAGAAAGAAAATGGACGACGAACAGGACCATATCAGTCTCTGTGAGAAGATTTAAAGCTCTCGGGGCAGTGGACAGAGTTCCGTTATTGGATTCGGTGCTCGCTCTGGATCAAAGCTACAATTTTTAGACAAGAAAACAGAGTGGTGGTGAAGACAAGTTACGCTGGTTTTGGAGAAACGTCTCGAGTTTTTCTTTCTCGTTGTTTTTTGTCCTTGTGTTTTTGGCTGATTGTTTCGTGTCTTCCAGGGATCCTGGCCGAAGAGATTAACAATAACGAGGAGAATCATTTCATAGTATGTTCTAAAGCTTTGAATATCTTTGGCCGGGAGATCGAGGAGAGCAAGAACAAGCGACAAAACGACGGGAAAGGGTCTGCCTTGGAATGCATGAAACTCTCGTGAACAAGTTTGACATTCGCTCCACACGGCACAGCTCACTCCCACCAACGAGTGGATGAATGAATGAATGGATGGATGGTTTATGATCAAAGTGTTGGTAATACTCCTCCCGGGATTTCCACCACCGTGTGTGTTTTTTTAGTTCTTCCAAATCCCATCCTTCCACTTCACGATAGCTCGCTACTTACGTGGTTTGACCGATTTGGGTTTGTTCCTTGGGGTTAAGTTATCCAGATTGACGTGAACTTCAACATATCCTCGCCCTCGAACAACGATAAACAAGATTAAATTGTCTTGTGCTTGGATGGTTTGAATGAAACGCAAGGAAGAAAACTTAGAACAGAACAAGATCCACGCAGTAAAAAAGTCTCAAAGCAACTAAGACTGACTTTGGAAGTCTAGGAGGTCGTGCCAAAACCATTTGACAAAAGCTTCGTATAGGTGGTGGTGTTTGTGTCTTTGTTTTGGACGTGATCCATCAATCGCTCGTCCCCCATGCCACGACGAGCCATTGCCATCTTTGCGAGCTGGACGGGCGATAAATCGGTATATAGCTACATTCTATACGTTTAGATGATCTGGACACATCGATTGGAGAGAAGCAAAAGTCTGTTTTTTACGTAGTCAATACGTTCAAGCCTTCAAAGCCATACATGTGGGATCTTATACATACATACATGGAGAGAGAGAGAGAGAGAGAATTTGATGATGGTTTTGTTTGTTTGCGTTTGTGGTCCGAGAGAGAGGGAGTTCTTGGTTGTTTTAGCGAATTTGATGATGGTTTAAAGCTTGTTTTTTCTGCGTTTGTGGTCCGAGAGTTTGATCTGTCAGCAGTGATTCTTACAAACAAACGCCAGTAGTGCTGTGCCTTGCTATCAGCTGGGAATCTGATCCACACACGACGAAAGAGCTTTGCGCTCTTCCAGTGTCCAGTGTTTCTCGTCCCTTTCACAATACGATAAAGTAAAGAGCTAGCTAAGCTAGACGGTCTTGAGAGATGTTCTCCCGTACACAAATGGCCTGGCTGACACAACCACGGAAAAAAGCAGAAATATTTCCGCAAGAAAGACAGGGAACGAGAGAGAAAAGATCATTCTCTTCCCAAGGAAGTTCGTGAAAACTGCCTCGATCGCTTTTGTGCAGCGAGTGTAGCTCTACAAATGTGGTGCTCGCTGTGAATGCCAGAGATCCACGCTCCTTTCATGTCTATAGTTGTTGATGATATGTTTCGTTTGATCGCGAGATTTGTGGTGATTCATGGGTTCCACTTTGAAACAACACGACACACAGCTGTGGAGACGACTAGTACGAAGCGATTGACCAAAGCCCACCAAACTGAAAAGTTTTGGAGACAAGGACCAGAGCGTCACCACAAATCTAGAAGCTGTGAGAGAGGAAATCACCCAAGGGTCACAATTCACAAGTTAGAAGGAAAGAATCTATCAAAAAGAAAAGAGGGATGGAATGCTAGATGGCAAGTTTGCAAACGTTTAATGTGGGTTTTTTTTGGGGGGCTGGTGGAGGGGCGCTGCCAGTGCATTAATGGGAAGAGAAGACATGTCTTTGTCCTGCCTTCTTAACAAGACAAGGTCCTTGTCTTGAAATTTTGCTATGGTTGAAAGAATATTGTACTGCATGGCATATCTATCTTTCCAAATGCCATATACTTGGCTGCTTGTTTATGTGATTGACCAATCAAATCAGTTTAAAATATTCTCTCTCTCTCTCGCTCTCTCTCTCCTTTTCTCTGTGAAAAAATTAATAAGAAAAAACTAATTTCTGGCTTTGTTTTTTTCTCAAGGAACACACCACAATGTTGGCTTTTGCAACGTACAGAGTACACAAATACTCACTGTCCAACAAGCAGAGATACCATCTCAATGTGTTGGTTCTTTGAATCTGTGGAAAAACATGCTTGTAGGGGAGATTGATGGACTGGAATAGATGGAATCACTCTCCACTTGTAGAGTGGCAGTGGTGAGGCTGCAATCCACAAAAAAGCAAGGAAAAAACAGTGGGCCTCAAAAACCAAATGTGAGTTTCTTGCCTGTGGTCCAAAGTTTCTAGCTCACTCACAATCTTCGTCCTGATAAAATTCTCCCTGGCTTTGGAGCTCTCTAAGCTAGCAGCATTTAATGAGGGATGAGAATATCATAAACCTTGCATTTGAACGAGAGAAAAGTAGTGTGGACCAAACAAAGTAGTGCACAGCAGCATGTAGCTTGCAGCAGGAGGCAAGCAAGCAATCACACTGCATTGATGAAAACTGTGCAAAGTTACTTACTATAAATCCCGCTGCTTCGTCGCCATCTCGCGAATTAGTAAGCCGATAGCCAACAGGTAGAGCGAGCGAGCGCTCGCTTTCACCGGTTCCACGTCCAAAAGCCCCTGTCCAAAGCCCGAGTAAGTAAGCAGATAGAAAGAAACCAAAGAGAGTAGCGAGCGAGTAACGAAGTTATGACTAAGTGGCGACTGTCTCTGTGTGCGTCCCGTCCTTGTTGTGTGGTAGACACAACAACATCAACACGGAGAGAACGGACGGAGGGATCCAGGCCCCCCGACGGACGGACTGGATCTCGTGGAGATCTTAATGGCGTTTCTAGAGAGACCCTGCCATTAATGAGCCCAGCCCAGCCTCTCTCCTGCTCAGGTGCCCCTCGGTCTATTCCTTCTTAAAATCTAGACTAGTCTCATCATCTTCTAACAATTACTACCCCCTGTTGTTGGACGGATACGACTACTACCACTCTTATACTACAACTGAGAATACAAACATGTATACGCACCTTTCAAGCGCAGTCCAGAAGTTAACCAGCTCCTCAGAGAGATTATAAGTATCTTTGGTGTATCACATTGGATACAAGTCTCCATCCTTCATGTAAATGCCGGGGGATGTCCAGAGAGAAGCGTCGTCAAGCTTGGCTGGCTTGGAGCTTTGATAGCTTTTCTCTCTTCTAGCGCTGGTGGTGAATTTTGCCTCCCTGCATTGCAACCAGGAATAAAGTAATCGTTTTCTATAAGCACACCGCATTACCCGAGGAACAATGGTGACATTCTTCTTCCTTCCTGCTTCCTTTGTTCCTTTCTCCGGACCCGACTTTTATAAGCCCTCCTAAAGAGCGATGGATGTAATTTATGTAAACTTAGTGACAAAAATTGACACCAAGCGATAAAACTTAACCTTGATGACTCAATCAACCTCTAGTAGAGCCAGACGGACGAGCGAGCAAATTGATTGATTGATCACGTACCAGCTATCCTCGTGTTTTTAAGTCCTGTAGAGACCACATACACAAGCAAGTGGCGAGTGAGAAAGTGAGAGCGTGTAAAAAAAATAAAAAATAAAAAAAACTTGTTAGCGATCGAGAAGCAAAGCACAGCCTTTTGTTTACCTTAACTGCAGCTTTTGGGTCGAGTGATTGACGATGCCTTTCTTCCGCCTGGCACAGATCTGTTCCTCGTCTTCTCTGTCTGATACTACTACTACTACCGCTCTGGTGGGTGGCTCCTCCCTTTCAGTGTCTCTGCTTACTGTATAATATTATGCTGTGCCGCCTGCTGACTTGCGCTTCTGCATTTGTCTCGGCGCTCAATTGTTTTTGCTGCCTCCTGAGTCCTGCTCATCGTTTTTTTTTTCTCCCCTGCTATACGGCCCTTCCACCGCTGCTGGCAAAACTCTCTAGAGAGAGGCTTTAAACTCCCTCTATAACATCACCGCTTGGTGTGTGCTGCCTCTTCGAGATCGCGTCTTTAGCCCGATGCTGCTGATGCCACCTGAATATTTATATATATGATAAGAGATTCCCTTCCGCCTCTAAAGTCCATCCTTCTTATCATCATTCCGCTCCAAAGCCTGGATACTATTTTCCTGCTAAGCAGTAGTAGTAGTGGTTGTGTGTCGGTCTGACCCTCCCGGTTCCGGAGATATAAGAATCCAGCCAAAGGTCATCTTAATCCCTGCTGCTGGTTGCTTCCCTCCGGCTCTCCCATATTCCTCCCATCATCGTCACGGAGTGGCTTCTCCTCCTCCTTCCTCCCTTTAAAATCTATGCTTGGCAGTAGCGCTTCGCTCTCATGCCAGGCGTGCCCTCTCCTTTTCGATGCATTCTTCGCCTCTATTGCAGCCTTTCTTGTCCGCAAGTGATTCTTTGCTGCTGTTTGCTCTTTGCCGTTCCTGCTGCTGCTGCTGCTGCCGCTGTTACTGCCAACGAATTACTACATACTCCTCCGCTTCCTCGATCAGCATCTCCCCTTCTCGATTGATTGTTCTTGACATCGTGCTAAATTGTTAGGTGAGCCGTAGCAGGCATCTTCTTGTACTTCCGCTTGCCTTGCCAAGGTCGCTGCCAAAGCATTCAAGAGTTTCTCATGCTCTTTCTCCTCTTCGCGTCGTATACACCTGCAAGCGGAGAGCACCATGATCATGATGAGTGCTCGTCGAAATCCAGAATTATTCAAAGTGAGCTGTGATATGGGGTAGCACAGTACCGGTTGCAGTAGTTAGCAGAAGCTGTCAAAAATTCTCTGGAATTGCGTCCCAGTATATCTTCCATTGCAGCAACCACGAACAGCATTTTCCCAAAGGGAGTATGAGCAGCGACGCCTCTTACTAAGGTTGGATCCCGCTGCTGTCTGTGATTGCGATACTAATCCTTCAGCAGGAAGAAAAAGTGAGAACAGCATTTATCATAATTCTCAAGACTCTTACGCTGCTTCAAGCACGATGCCACCCCTGGGTTATCGGCTCTTCGGAGTAGTCAACGGCATGTTCTCGGAGCAGCAGCTGTTTCGGGAGTCTCTGAGCTATGACAGAGGCGTTTGTTGATGGAAAAGCTGAGTAAGAGAGGCCGAGCATGAACAGAAGAAAGCAGGACCACTCTGTTCCAGATTTGTCACTCCAGATCAGCCCCCCGTCGACAGGCAAGAGCACTCCCATGGCGACTTATCAAAAGAACTACCAGGAATTCGATCTCTGGAGTCGGGCTCAGCACAACTCAAGCAGCTCAGTCAGTGACAACTCCTCCAATTCCACTTGTGGGAGTGAGAGGTGGTGCAGGGAAGCAGCCGCTGCACCTCCATCCACGGAGCTCTCGCTAGGAGCAAACCCCTTGTTTCGAGCGACTCCTCCCTCTCCTTCTTTCAAGAGCAGCATAAGATCAAGCTCGGAATCATATGCAGCAGCTTTGGAGGCGTCTAGACCAGGATTCGCTGTATACAGCAGCAGCTCGTCACACATTCCAGCAGCGCAATCATTTCAGAACTTAAGAATTGCAAATGAGGATGCTCACTGCAGATCCGCGGATGCGTCCACCAGGAACAGCTTCCATGCTTTCTACTCACACGCATTCGGGTATGCTGATCAATCGGGGGGAGCAGGCCAAGCAGGACATGGGCTTGTGGCAACTTACAGCAACGCCGCTGGCGGTCTACAGCAGCAGCAGCAGCAGCAGCAGCAACATCAGGCATACAGCTCGTTCCACAGACTTCACAATCGAGAAGGACTTCCCAACATCTTGTCAGCAGTAAACAGCACGTCATACGACTCAAGGGACTACCATCAGCGAAGATATACACCAAGCCTTCAGGAAATCTTGCAAGGGAGGAGCCCGCAAGGCCAAGGTCGGTACATGGAACTAGCTGAGAATGCAGGCATCACATTGTCGACCCTAACAAGGAGCATTGCACAGCAACACGAAGCTCACACAGGTAGCAGCAATCTCAGGTCGCAGTTTATGCCTCGCTTACCCACCAAGAGAAGCATGCGTGCTCGGAGAATGCGATGGACAAGTACACTCCACGCTCACTTTGTACATGCAGTGGAGCTCCTCGGAGGACACGAAAGTAAGCCTCGCTCGAAACTGATCTCTCTTGCATTGTTCCGCAGCTGCTAGAGCATCTGTCAGGCATGGGAAGTGTATCAGCAAATTATTTCTGCAATCATTATGCATCAGAGAGCATGCAAAAGAAAGGAAAAAAAAAAGGAAGTTTCTCACGAGTTCATGAACTGGTTTCTCATTTTCTCCATCATATGCATGATCTTTGTCTCACAGTTTTCGATTTGATGATCAGGGGCAACACCAAAGTCTGTGCTGGAGCTTATGAACGTCAAGGATCTCACTTTAGCCCATGTCAAGAGCCATCTCCAGGTACGAAGGGAAAAACTCTCTCTTCCAGAGAACTAAGTTACTCCACTGGAACATTGTTTCCATTTTCTAGATGTACAGGACGATCAAAACAACGGACAAAGCAAGCAGCAGCTCAGGTACTTCAAACTTTTTCTAAAGACCAAAAAGATCCTCACGTAACCAAACACGCAGGCGCTACGAATGACGCGACCTCAGGAAGCCTGGAATCGTTGAACGCAAGAAAATCCAGCGAGCAAGTAGCGTGGCATGATCCCGAAAGGTAGAAAAGGACCTACATTCCTCCCTGGAGATGAAAATCCTTGGAAATTTTCATGATCCAGGTCGAAAACACGAATGGAAGAGGGGCGATCATCGGGCTGGGAGGCTTGCGATCACGAGGTAAACGTAATCTAGGTTTTTGAGACCGATATTTCATCGATCGATGCAGGAACACGAGGAGGAGGACGAAGACTTACCAGGGAAGAAGAAGCAATCGAAGCCGCCATGCCCGGAGCTCAGCCTGGGACGATCGAGCTGGGACGATCCACCGCCATCGCCGCCATCCTCCGAGGGCGAGGAGCTTATGTTACTAAAATGCTAATCCTAAAGGAGGCCGTTAAAGTTTTGCAAGGCGGTTAAAACTTCGCTTGTATGTTTCTTCCAATTTTGAAAGAGCCGGAAGAAACAAACAAGATGGAAGCTCACACTCAAGAAAAAAAGTTATGAAGTAAAAAAGTTCTTCGAGAGGAAAAAAAAACGCTCACTTATTCACACAAAGCTCTCCTTATTCTCGCGTTCCTTCTCTCTCTCTCTCTCTCTCTTTTGGTTTCCTAGACTCGAATCCAGGCGATTCAAGGACGATCTGATCGACGAAGTTCACTCCTGGACGAGCAGCACGCATGAGAATTAGATATAGTAGAAGCCCACCTCGATCAGTCTTAGAACATGATATCTTCGTCGCGATCGGTCTCGGACAGCAGCATGTTTGAGTTGGATTTGTAGCCCGAGTTCCCAAAGTCTTGGAAATCGTCGCTCTGATCGTTACTATGAGACGCAAACGATGATCCAGTCGTGGTGGAAGCAGCAGCCTGGTGACCACCACCGCCACCGCCACTCTCACTCCTGTAAGAAGAGTTGGTCTCGTCGCTCCGATAGCTCGGGCTGCTCGGACGGGGTGGCGGACTCGGACTCCGGCTACTCGAGAAGAACCCGCCACCTTTCTTCGCGGGCGGAGGAGCCGGCTTCTTTGGGGCTTTCCCCACCGCCTCGAGTCTCTTCCTCTCGACTTCCTTCTTCTTGAATCCCTGGATCTTCTTCAGCCGGAAAAACTCCTCTCTCTCGAGCTCGTCCAGCTCGCCTTTGATGTAGAGGATGGTGTTTTCGATCCTCGGCTTGACGACGTTCTCCAGCGCGTTCACTCTCCGGTTGGTCGTCTTGATCGCCTCGTCCAGCGTGAGAAAGGAGGTCTGGAGAGACGCCAGCTCCACCAGAAGCTCCACTGCCTTGATGAAAGAGGACTTACAGAGCTGGACCTGGCGGCCCCCTCGAGCGAGGCCCGTGAGATCGTTCTTGGTCTCCACCGCCTCGACGTAGTGCTCGAATTTGGGGATCTTGACGCCCGCCACATTCTCCTGCTTGGCCCTCACCTTGATCGTCGCGGCGTCCACATTCTCGAGGACGACGTGCTTGATGCTGTCCCCAGCCGTGTATTTCACCTCCGTGAGCGCGAAGGACGCGGATTTCATAGTGTCGCCCATCGCCTCCTTGGTCTGGACGATGCGCTTGAGGATCTGCCGGAACTGCATCGTCAGGGCATCGCTCTTCTTCTTGAGCAGCTGGTGCCCCTTTGTGGCGCCGATCAGCCGCGCCTTGATCGCGCCCAGGACCGTCACGGTCGGCACCACATTGAGGCGCTGCTGCTGTCCCGCCATCGATGGATCTTCTCTTCTTACTCACCAGCCCTAGAGTCTTCTTCCTCTTCGCCAAGAACCCTAATTTCGGCTCTCCTCCAGTGGGGATATTATGGCGCGCATTTCGCCGCTGCCGCAGACAGTCGCGAGCTGCCTGCGATCCAGCAGCATTCTCTCCGGCATCTCGCAAGTAGTCGACGAGCTCGTGTGTAATGCGATCGACGCGCAAGCGACACAGGTATGAATCGATCGATCGATGATAGCTCAAAATCTTGCAACACTGCTGGATGATGGCAGATCATCGTTTTCCTGGACATCAGAAGCTGCTATATCAAAGTCGAGGACGACGGTAGAACGAAGCAAGCTTAGATTTCTTTCTTTGACATCCTTTTCGATGCAGGTTGTGGTATTAGTCGTGAGGACTTCGTATTTTTGGGAGAGAGACATGGTAAGCAGTGTCTGTTTCTTTCCTTCTTGAACGTCTGTTCTTTGCAGCTACATCAAAGCTCCATTGCCTGGATGAGCTAGAGACTGGTCTCCAAACGCTTGGCTTTCGTGGAGAAGGCTTGAGCTCTGTTTCCGACATAGGCCTTGTAGAAGTGACGTCCAGAGCCAAAGGAAGTCCTCATACATATCGCAAGATTTTCAAGGTGCGTTCTACAGCATTTGCTTTTGGCAGTTTTGATATCATCTGCCCTTGCAGAATTGTAAGAGTTTGTCACTAGGACTTCCGGGGAACCAAAGAGATCCTGGTACAACCGGTACGTTTACTTTACGTGGAGAAGCTTGCCTGCTCTAAGCTGTGGTCTTGTTTCTCAGTTGTTGTGAAAGACGCTTTCTACAATCAGCCAGTTCGCAAAAAGATTCTTCACAGCAAGTTGAAGAAGCCTTCTTTTCCTCCATGGCATTTGTGTTAAACACTGTCTGGTTCTGCAGCTCCAGAAAAGCCGTGGAGTCGGTAAAGAACCACATTCTGCGATTGTGCCTTGTTCACCCGAAAATCCAGTTTACGTTGGTAGACCTTGAGAGGTGCTATCTCTTACGATTCCAACTAATAGCCGAAAAGGTTTTTTCATAGGGAGGAGAAGGTGTTTCAAGCGAAACCAGCAAGATCACTATCTAGCAGGATTTCTGATATGTTTGGGGATGAAACTCGAAACACTCTACAGAAAATAGATTTTGCAAAGGGATCGCTTAGGCTCGCTGGTTATATCTCCAAGCATTTGAAATCGTTTTCTACAAAGGTATAACGTTTCTTTTTATAAATTTTCTTTCATAACGTGCTTTAGTGCAGGCGTTGCAGTTTCTCTGTATCCCAATTAATCGGTTCCTTTTTTCTCTGCTAGTTTTTCTTGACAACGAATTCAGATATAAATCGGAGGTTCGTCGTTAAAACTCCGTTGCACAAGGTTTTAAACTCCTGGCCGTCAACACAAATTGGCTGTCCATCGTTTGTTTTAAACCTTGTCTGTCCACATGTGGACTATGACATTACACTTGATGCATCTAAGTCGCTTGTCGTGTTTAAGGTAATGTCTACGATCATATCATTGCCTTATTGACATTCCTCTTGTTTTTAAGGATTGGAGTCTGGTGTTGTCTTTTGTTGAAGAAATTCTTAAACAACTCTGGGAAGTCGAATGCCGTATTGGTACAAGCAGGAAGCCAAAAGCGAAGAGAAAGCGCGGGGCTGGTCTTATAAGAGGTGCTGAGACGTTTTCTGAATTACCTGCCTCAGATTTAGATGGTACAAAGGCATCCCGAACAGTGGTGAATACATGGAGAAGCTCGTCTGCACCCCCATTCTACAAGCCACGGAAAAAGTTTGCGACGCATAAAAGCTTTGACGACATGTCTGTCACCTACGAGGCTCCCAGAAAAAACAAAATCTTAAAGCTGGATACTCTCGACTACCAAGACCGAAAACTTTGCAAGTGGAGACAGATTCTGCTGCGACCGAGACAAAATACTTTCACAACTATCGAAAGGCCTATTTTGCAAATCGGTTCCGGAACCTTGGCCAGTGGAGATTTTCAACCTGATTCTATAACTAAGGAGATGCTGTCAGGCGCGAAAGTGCTTGGTCAAGTTGACAGGAAGTTCATTGCGGCTATCACAAATGGAGTTCTGTTTTTCATCGACCAGGTTTGCGAGCTTCCAATTAGATTCTCATTGCTAGTTTTTCTTTGCAGCACGCCGCTGATGAAAGAGTTCGTTTGGAGGAATTCCGCGATGACGTAAGTATGAAGCCGAAGTATATACTTACCACCAGTGACTTCTTCGTGTAGATCTTTTCCACGAAAGAAGGCCACGGGACATCCCTTGGAGATCAGTCGGAGGAAGTTGTATGTTTTTCAATTATGCTGTGTGGATTCCGTTGTCTCAAAGTTTCTTCCAGATTTTAACTCGGTCAGAACAAGAGGCTCTTGTATCTTACCGGGAAAAAATCGAATACTGGGGTTGGAGATCAACATTTGTTTTCTCTCAAGGGTAAGACTATTGTTATTAGCATGAAAAGCTAAGTATTGTTGCACAGTCGTTCCTCGGAAATTTGCAAAGTAGTCTTGGCGGCAGTAAGACTTTTATTTCGTGATTTGCGGTGTAACCGGCGAAAATGTTTCCAGGTTCCTTGCATCAAAGGAGTAAAGCTTACATCGAAAGACTTATTGGAATATCTTCGCCAGGTTTCTTCATTTCTTGTTCTTCTTTCTGTAGCACATCACTAAGTGAATAACTTGTAGCTGGTTGATACGCATGGATCATCTAGTGCACCGCCAGCAGTTCTGAGAGTCCTGAACTTTAAGGCATGCAGGGGTATGCGTGTGATTGTTTACATTTTGGATGGGACTTTGACGAGACAATGCAGGTGCTATAATGTTTGGAGATTTCCTGCTACCTAGCGAGTGTGAGCAGTTGGTAAATGCGCTGAAGAAAACGTCGTTGTGCTTTCAGGTTCGTCTTGTTGTTCATTTCCTTCTCGATATTAAAACTTACTTATGCAGTGTGCACATGGTCGCCCAACTATGGTCCCGATTGTAAATCTCGAGACTATCCGTACTCACCAGTGGCAATCACCGAAGAAAGACTTTTCCTTTTCCGTCAACAAGGCCTTGTTTTCTACAAGGAAATTCTGACAAAGAGGTATCCTACTTTTTCGCAGCTGCTTTTATAACGTTGTTGTCAAACTTGAAGCCACCGTTGCGTTGAAGCACTTTTTTTGAGCCCTACTTTATCCATGGCGTATCCTCTTTCGCAGTGCACGGCTCTTGTGTTTGTTCCACCGCCCTCTGCAGCTATCTTTGCTCCTTCCAATAGCAGGCTTCATTTAACAGGTGGGAGCATTTGCAATCGAAGCACTGAGGCTCTTAAGAAAGTGTCCAGATGTGGTTCAGCATCCTCCTCAATCAATTTTGACTACCAGGTACTGTGAAGTTCACAATGCGTTTTCTGAAAAGTAGTATGCAGTTTCGGGATGACGGTGGAGAGCTAGAACTCCGACTCCAGGTGCCGCCTGATCATGAAGAGATTAGCTCCAAGAACGTAGCAATCAATGCACACGATCTTTCTCTCGACGTGGCTTTGATGTCCCAAAAAGGCATCAGGACTCTTCTCAGCATCCCTCGGTTGTATAGCAGGATAAAGCCGATTGAAACAATGTGGTATGGTGTTGTATTTTACTAATTTTTTATTTCTAAGATGTAGCCTTATGCAGGTTCATTGACGAGGACGAGATTGTCTTGAGCTTGAAAAAGCAAGATGTCACACAACCGTGGCCTGGCCTTCTGGAAGCTTGGGAGTACCTTGGGAAAGGTGTGGCCGGCATGCTCAAAGCAACTTCCATATACATTGTAGGAGATTCCACATTGATTAACTCAGCAGTTGCAAAAGAGCTGGCTTTGGCGTTGGGGTAAGCCCATCAGCAAGCTCTTTGTCTTTTGACGCTACTACCTTTGCAGATACGTGCCTCTAGAAAGTAAAAAACTGATGGAGCAGCTACTCAAGACGTCACTTGATGATTGTAAGTTGCTCGACGAGATTTTATTCCTACTGAGTTCAGCGATTCCTACTTAGATGCGAAGTTGGAAGGCCCGGATGCGGTTGCAGAGTTGGAGTGCAAAGTTTTCGAGACTCTCAGCAAGTAAGTAAGCTCCAAACGATCTCTACTTCGATTGCTAACATCTATAATTTACGTCAGGCAGCTGAGAGTTGTCGTAGCAACACTAGGAGGAGATCAAGGCGCGGCATCAAAACCACATAGCTGGAGATTTATGTATGCTGGTTTTACCGTGTGGCTTTCACGCAGCCAGTCCCAAGGTTCGTTTCACTCATTTCAATCCGTTGGTTCTTTATTCCTTCTTATATTTCACAGATGAAGCTGGCGCAGAGAAAGAAGCCGTGAAAGCGAAAGAAGGCAGCGTCGTCTACAGCAAAGCCGAGACGGTGGTCGCTCTTAGCGGCTGGGAAGACGGCGCTGCTAGAGACGCCGCGGAGGGTTGCCTTCGAGCTCTCAAGTATCTCATCGAGTCCGATAAAGAACTTCCAGGTTCGCATTCCTGGTTTCACAGTTTTAATTCTCTCTCTTTCGTCTTCCCGCTTCCTTGGAGGCTGATTCAAGCTTTTAAATCCAGGGAACAAGAGCTTGTATGTGCGACTAGGCGCTCGCGGTGATTGGCCCAACATCATGCCTCCAGGATGGGATCCAGCGGCATAGTTGGCCAAAAAGAAGGAAAAAGAAAAAGGAGGGGGGCTGTCGGGATCGAACCGGGGACCAATGCCGGGGTCGTAGAGTAGGGCAGCGGACAGCGCGCTTGCACGCGCCGTTCTCCGCGGTTCCAGGGCGACGCACGCTTCCACTCGCCATCGCGAGGTACGAATATGCTCGGGCCGTTGTCCAGGAGCCAGGAAAGAGGTGGATTGATGGGTTTAGCAGCAGCTCAGGGCAGGCTTTGGAAACCAATCGGTGGCGGCAGTGGAATGGATGGGGGAAATTCACAGGAAGTATTGGTGTGAAGACGGCGACGAGCTGGTCGACAGTGGTGGGTACTTCTTTTTCCCCGAGCTGGAGGCTATGGATGGGGAGTATCAGGTGGACATCTTAAACCATCACCCAGCTCCGTTTTTGTCCGAGGCAGCGGCGTTGGGCTTGGCAAAGAGTGGCGGCGGTGTGGTGGTTTCTTCTTCTCAGGCTGGTGGTGGCAATGCTGGTGGTAGCAGAGTTGGAGCTTCCACAAACGACCAACGTTTCCTTCTGGTTTTCATCTTTGGAGCTTACTTCGGGCCGGACTTGAGGAACGAAGTTCCCAGAAAGTCAGCACTGCAGAGGATTGCTCACCGGCTCCCAATATACACGTCCGATGACTTGGGCGGTTCCGTGTTTAAGCTCTCGGAGATGGAGAGCATCTACTACTACGCGCTCAGGCATTCGCATCCGTCCGCCAGGGTGAAGCTCCAGTCCCTGTACAAGTTCCTGCAGGGCCATCTTGCTCCACCCGTGAGAGAAGCCCTGGAAGACGATCGGCAGTTTACGACGTTCTTCCCTCCTCACTTGCACAGGCAGTCTCGGTACAAAGGGACGTACAAGGTGGTGGAGAGCATGGTGTTTATCAACGAACCGGAACTATCCTATATGAAGCTGGAAGATATCGAGAGGTTTAAGAGGTTGACGGGGCTGGGTGATCTCACGATGGACCGGGACTTAGCGAGGAGTTTCCAGCATGGGCAGAGAAACGACAGGGACGAAGAGAGGCAGGCTAGATTTTACGCTCTGGCAGAAGCTCGTGGACCACTTGGAGTGGATCAAGACGGTCGGCCACTCCCTCATGTTTTGCCGGATCCCAACTTGGAGTCTCGAAAGAAGAGAAAGAAAAGAGAGCAAGCAGAGGCGTCTCTGGCTGCTGCCACGGACTTGACACAAAGAGATGACAGGACGTCTGCGACGCAGTGGCCGCCAAGTTCTCAAATGCCTGCTGCGGCCATGCTGCTCATCCCGTCACTTCCGACCGTGGAGCAGTGGAACAGGATAGTGGACGCTGCGAGGCCGTCAATAGTTCTTACGGGGACTGCCGCGGCTAGACAGTCGGGGCCACTGGTCGGACTCGTGGATATCGGAGTCGCCGACGACGCTTATCTCTTCAGAGCTGCTTTGCCGGGAGTCAAGAAAGACGAAGGTATGCTCGAGTCGAGAGCGAAAAGAGTTTGTTTGGATCTCTCTGACTGATATGACTTGTGAATCAGGCGACTTTAATTGCGAAGTGGAGTGTGATGGGAAGGTTACTATCAAAGGCATGACAACAACCGGGGAATCCAGGATTTTCAGGACGAATAGAATGTTTCACATGCAAACGCAGTACCTTTGTCCGCCAGGCCCGTTTAGTGTTTCTTTCAACCTTCCGGGACCCGTTGAGCCGAATCAGTTCACAGGCACGTTTGGATCCGATGGCGTGCTCGAAGGCATCGTGATGAAAGCGAGAGTCAGAAGCGGTGCTGCGTGCTTGACATTTGAACCTTGAGCCTCTTTCGTCCCAAGGCAGCGAGACTTTCGTCGTCACATATTTTTTCAAGCCTGATAGGACAAGAGGTACATGGTTTTTCTGGTTTTCCGGTTACGTGAATTGTTGGTTTCCCTGTCAGATGTGGAATCTATAATGACTTCGGACGCGCTTTGGATCATGGTCTTTTGAGGTAAGACACGACAATCTTGTTATACTCAGAAACTCTCTCGAACTGCGGTGCATGAGCTGTGTTCTTGATGACTGCAACCTCTGCTTGCTCCCCGAGATGCCTGCGAGAAAAAAAAAAGTTTTAGAAAGATTGGAGATTTGATGTCGAGTAACTCACTTCCTTAGCTTGTATGCGTATTCAACGTCGAAAACTTTGTCATGGTCTCCCCAGACGATGAGAACGTCCTGAATTATCCAGTCAGCTCACTCGTTCTCTTTGGACAACGCAGGAAACTTACCTGGCTCAGCGTTGGCAACTCTGGGGAATCGGCTTTGCCCAGAACAAGCCCCTGCAGCAGCTCAAGCTTCTCCTTGGTGTTCTTCTTGTACACAGCCTGAGAATTCACGCAAGAGGTAGTGCTTCTACTCGTTTCTCTGGATTCTTATACGTACCTCCAGATAATCCTTGAAGACAAAGTCGGGCATGATGCGTGGGAGTTTGTAGAAGCAGAGCTCAAACGCGGTCCTCGCATCTCTCCAGTTGCTAGGCATCAAAACATCGGCCACGCTGCGAACGCCACAGTACTCCACGAGCCGGCGATCCGAGGCAGGGTCCTTGTTGGGAGCCGAGTTTGAGAGAACGACTCTACGCACAGCCTCGGGGAACATATGAGCCATCCTGTACGCGACGAAGCCACCGTAGCTGGTTCCAACAACGTCGAACTTGTTGACGCCGAATTTCTCCAGGAGCTCCACCACGCACTCGGCCTGGTAGAATTCCGATCGCTCCGCGCTGCTGGTGGTGGAGTCTCCGAAGAAGACGAGGTCCGGGATGTAGAGGTCGAAGGATTTGGAGAAAGAGGGGACCTGGAAGATCCAGGACAGACCATACAGGCCGAATGCGTGGAGCAGCACCAGGGGTGGATTCTTGCGGGTTTTCTTTGGAGCCCAGCAGCGGATAGTGGCTCCATTGTCGAGCTTGACGACTCTCGACTCGAGGCCATACCAGTGGAAGAAATTGGTAGCGCGAGCCATTGCAAAGGTCGCCGCGTTACATCCCAGGCAGCCACCCATCTTCTTCTTCAAGCAAAGCAAGGCTCACAGCTCGCAGCTCCTCGTTCTTCGTGGATCCACCGCTTCTTCGATTCGATCAAACCAAGAGCAGTGGAAGTAAAAAGGAGAAAGAAGGCCCCCGCGAGTTTTATGGGACGAAAAGGAAACTTCTCGACGCGATTGATAGCGCTTTTCTCTCGGAGAGGAGGAATCAGGAGGGCAAAAGAGGGGGATGATCTCTTCCTGAAATTTCGTAAACTCCCCACGCCAAGAAGGTGAAGGAGCACAAGGATGATATGATAAAAGAGTGGTGCCTCAGCTCCTACGCATTGCGCCATAAAAGAAGAGACATGGGGTGGTCTTTTTGGCTACTCATTTTTTGGCAGCACTAAATGCCAGGCGGTAGTAAGTTGTGGCAGAGAGGGGGTCCATGTCAAAAAATCAAAGCTCCTCCACTTCTTGACTTCCCGCGCGCGCCAAATCTTTTACTTTGGAGATTTAAATCGGGTAGGAGGTCGCGATCTCGACTCGGCTGTAGAGCATAGTTTGTCTTCCCTCGCTTTTTTTTAAAATCTAAGGTTTAGGGTTTCATTCGAAAATCTCATTTGATTTGGCTTCCGGTCCTTGGGGTTAAGTACCAGGCGATAAAGGTGGGAAATTTTGTTTCTAAATTTTAGTTGAATCGTCTCGTTTTCGAATAAAGCAGGCTATGCGACGTCAAAATGCGATTGCTCAGCTCGAATGCATAGTCAGTGTGCTAAACTAAGTTCCAAAGGCACCGGGGTGATTTTATTCTAATCTCTGTTTCTGTGTTGTCAGATTCTGAGGTCTTGCACTAGTTGTCTGCGAAGGTTTGGATCCGACTGAGGACATTCAGCCAGCCGAGAACGAGCAAAGGACCAGAGCAGAAGCTAACTGTTTTTACTTCTATGCAGCAGGCACGGCTGAAATAGAGTTTGCGATCGCCTTTGCCCTGTGAGTCCTTTTACTTCTTGTACCGTTTTCCAAGCTAGCTAACGAGTTTTGAATACCACTTCAAATGATGGACGAATCTATACATACGAAATTTAAGAGACTGTCAAAGAGTATTGAAGGTGAGAACCATTTTTGGCTGTGATGAACATCAAATTTGTTACTTGCAACTGCCTTTGAGATACTCAAAAGTCTGGCTGGTCGGATTGTTCTTAGAGCGGCAAGGCAATGAACGCAGATCAGAACTGCGAAGACAGCGAATTAAAAGTGAAGTTTATCTTTGTTTTCTGATCAAAGATCAGTTTTTCTCTGACGCTGTATGGCTTTCAGAAGCCACAGTATGTGATATTGTCCATGAAATGGAAGTAGCAGCCCACTGCCTGAGGTGTGCACCTCTGAATCATCTCGCAAGACCAGCACTCCAAGCGGAAGCCGCCTTTCTTGCAAGTTACATTGTAAAACGGCTGACAGCTCTGCGCGACAGTATCACGATGGCATACTCCTGCACAGTACGTAAGAATCTCATAAACTCGACCGAAAAAAAGAAGAAATGGACAAAGATCTCTTCACCAAATTGTGTTCTGTACAGCAGCTTGCGACCGCTCCGTCCCTTCTGATTTCATTTCCATCAGTTCCAAGTTCCCACACTCAAAAAGTACAATGCGAGCAGGAGCAGGATAGTACCTCTGAGTTCCCGGACGATCCCAGATCATACCACGGTTTACTTTTCGCCAAGAATGATCGCAAGCTCTTGATCCAGCGACCATTATCTTCCACACCAAGAGAAGATGGTGGTGGTGGTGGTGATGATGAAGAAAACGGGTGAAGCAGCAGCAATCCCAGGAGAAGCATTAAGAGCAAGAGCAGCAAAACTAGAAAGCGTGTCATGATCATCCTTCCTCCTCCCGCGACGAGAAGAATCATTACTTGAGCAGAGCGAGCTCACTCGAAACAGGCAGGCAGAGCTGTGAGAAGAAGAAGAGTGTAAGATTTTCTCCGGAAGACAAAGCCAAGATCACTCTAGCGAGGAGAATTTGGTAACGCTTTAAGTAGGGGATCGAGATGACCCGCGTGGAGTGTCCAGAAACTCCAGAGATGGAGCGATGAGGCCACCGGTTTAGTCCGGTTCTGCAAACTCTCTTTAAAGCGCGTGTGATAAGACAGAACTGACCAGTGACCGCCACCATTGTGAAGCTCGAGAAATACCTGTGCGTGTCCTGTGTCCTTCCTGTGCATGGTTAACTTCACCCACATTTAAAGGTGGTGTGTGAGAACACTCAAAAAAAGGAAGAAAAAAACGAAGAAAGATGCCCTCCAAGCAAATGAGAGCAAGCAAGAAGCTAGAGCTATGCACGCTTCACAACACTAGCAAAATTTAGGGCTTCTAAATGTGATAGCGTTCATTGGCCTCGCTCAAGTGACCATAAGAATATCCAGTGCTCGAGGAAAGCTGGAAAGTTGGCGGACAATAGGATAAAAGCCCTAAACCCAGATATTAGGGCAACTCTCGCTCTTCATTCTTGGCACTCCGTGAGCCACGTAAAAGGCGATGGTGGAGGAGAGGCTGCCCTCTTTCTAGCCACATTCTCCATGGCTGCCAAGAGCGGCAGCGAATTGGAGGCGCCACTGCTCGATCGCAGCTCCTCTCCTCCTCCCAGCAGCAATGGCGCGGCCGCGAGGAAGATTACGGCATGGATGCTGCGCGCGCTCATGTGGATCGTGTTCCTGGCGTGGATTTTGGTGCTTCTCGCGTTCCCGAAGATCAAGCTAGGGCCAGGGAGCTCCTCGTCGCAGTCTCTTGGCACGGGTAAGATAGAGAGAGATCTAGAATGCATTCTTTGGTTTCTAAAATAATTTCTTTGCAATGCCGCAGGCATTGTGTTGCTACTGTTTGCTGCTCCAGTTCTTTCGCTGGCGCTCTTGGCGACAATCTATTTGGAGATTAGAATCAAACCAGTCTCCACGACCAAGTAAGTTTTCACAGCTGGTTTCTCTCGTAGATCATCTCGGGGTTATAATTTTCTAGGAAGAGCCAGCCAGCGATTTCTCTATGGACTTGTCCTTGTCTCGTTGATGGACTGCTGGGTGTAGTCTCTGCTGCCGAAGTTCTTCTTATCGTTGCTTTCGTTGGCTACCTGGTGTGGTGCTTGACGATTTACGTGATCAACGATAGTGATCTCGTCCAACGATTCATGAAATTTCCTGCCATCCGAGAGAAGTTCCTACCGTAAGCTACGAGTTTTTTATTTCTTTTTTCTGTACTAAAATAATCTTCTTCCAGATGGGAGCTGTGGACGTACGTCATTGGACTCCGGTTTGGATTTCTTGGTCTTTTCTGTCTGGGCTTCTTGCTCCTTCCGGTTGCGAGAGGCTCCCCGTTGCTTCGGCTGATAGACATCCCTTTTGAGCACGCTGTGAAGTATCACGTCTGGCTCGGACACCTTACCATGGCGATATTTACCATTCACGGTCTTTGTTATGTCGTGGTTTGGACAGTTCAAGGTCGATTGGAAGAGGTAAGCTGGCTTTCAAGTTTCTTTTCTGCGAGATTTTCTCCGTTTCCAGCTTCTAGCATGGCAAAGAATTGGAGTTGCGAACTTGCCAGGGGAGATATCTCTTGTGGCTGGGTTACTTCTCTGGATGACGTCTTTTGGCTACATCCGGCAGGCCTTCTTTGAGCTTTTCTTTTACACACACCAGCTCTACGTGGTGTTTTTCGTCTTCATGGCCTTCCACATTGGCGACTTGTCGTTCTGCATTTCCATGGCGGGTTTCTTTCTATTTATGCTCGACCGGTTTCTGAGATTCTGTCAGTCACGAAGGTCAGTAGATCTGTTAGTATCCAGGGTACTACCATGCGGTACCATTGAGGTTGCGCTCTCGAAACCTCAAGGTATGAACTCAGTTCTCTTCATTTGTTTAATTTTTTGTCTCTGTGCAGATCTCAACTACAATGCACTCAGCTTTATATTTCTGAGCTTTCCTAAAATCTCTTTTCTCCAGTGGCATCCCTTTAGCGTTTCATCTAGTCCATATGATGCTCGAGACAACATGTCTTTCCTCATCAAACCTCTTGGTTCCTGGACTGGCGAGTTGCAAAAGCTTATCAAGGAGTCTACGAACAAAAGAAATGCCTGCCCGGTGCTTGGTGTCGAAGGTCCATATGGACACGAGTCTGACTACTACCTCAAGTAAGTAATCTAGCTATCTAGCAAAATCATAACGGCTTGAATTTGTAGGTATGAAGCATTGGTCCTGGTAGCCGGCGGAATAGGAGTCTCACCTTTCATAGCAATCTTAAGAGATATTTTGCACCGTTACAACATGAACCACGGCAATCTTCCGAAAGAGGTGACGCTTATATGGGCAGTAAAATACTCCAAGGAACTCGGTATCATCAATTTGGTCCAGCCGGAGTTTATTTTCCCCGACTATGCTTCCAGGCTCAAACTCACTATCCAGGCTTTTGTAACTAGAGAAATCCAGCCAGACATCGAGGAAGCTACGCCACTCCCAGAACATATCTTGAGCTTCGCAAAGAAACCAGACAGCAAACCAGTCTCCACTCTGGTTGGAACTTACAGCAACCTTTGGATGGGAGTCTACATCGCTGTCTCGACTGCCGGTTTTTTTCTCACTCAAACTATTATGGAGAAGTTTTTCCTTGGACCCATGACGGTGCCCACCGAGGGAGGTAGCAGTGGCGGCTCTGTCTCGTGGACAGTGAGAGCGGCAGCTCTCCTCTTAAGTATGACGTGCGGAGTCGTAGTAGTTGGAGGCTTGGCCATCGCCTTGTGGGACTGGATCGAACGCTCTCGAAAGGGACGAAAGTCCGGTTGCCAGGAAAGTATTATTGGAGCTACCGGTGCCGGGGACAAAGTTGGAGTGGCAGGCTGTCAGCAGCACAGTCTCGTTGGGCCGTGGAACACCGTCTATGGAAACCGGCCTGAGCTTAAAGGTACGCCCGTTTCAACTTGGTTTACTTGGTTGCACTGATTCTAGTCATGCCACTTCCAGAAATCTTTGCCGGTTTCACGAAGAAGTGGTCGGGGATCAACGTGGGGGTCCTCGTGTGTGGGCCTTCCACTCTCCAGACAAGCGTTGCGGAAGAATGCAGAGCAAACAACCTTAAGTTTGGATCCGTGGCTTTCCATTACCATTCCGTAAGCTTTGATCTTTAGAGATATGATCAGTGAGCTTGAAAAAGCTCACTTGAATCATCAAAGAGCACTGCTGATCTTTACAGCTATGTATATATTTTGTAACTATGTTCTAGAGGAAAAACTATAAATGTGACGTAAGTAGATCGTGAGTAAAATTTCAGTGTGTTTTAAGTTCTTCCAATGAGAAAAGTCAATGAACGTCAACGAAGACTCTCACTGACTCTACGCTTCCATACATCTCACGCCTGTATCGTTCATGAAAGACGGATAGCACAGCCCCTCCTCACACGACCAATGAACTTGATCTCCACCTCACTTCTGGCCACTTTCCTGACCATGACGTTGATATCTTGCATATTGCCATGAGTGCCACCAAAGCCGGGGATGTCTGGGTTGTCTAGCATGTGAAGCACCTTCCAGCCATCGCCCAAGTACTCAATGCACACTTCCAGCCACCTCCTGGGATTCGAGTCATTGATGAACTAATTTTCATTGCATACATGGGTTTTAGCAAGTTTGTTCCTAGCCATGAAGACAATGCTGGGAGAGTTCTACAATGCTCAACAAGTTCCACAATCCTGATGGGACACCATCCACTCCATATCGGGAGCTCGACTCCTAGGAGACATGCTTGTCTACTTGCTTTGTGAGGCCAACACAGTGGTCAAGTGCATGTGTGCAAGGACACTATAGCAAAGCTGTTCATCGTGTATGGCTTGATGCTGGATATGCACCCTGGCTTCTGAGGCCAATTGCTGCAGCAAAGCAAGATTAATAGTGTGTTGGTAGATCTATCAAAGCAATACAAGTGCTTATTTGGGATGAAATTAATATGGTTTATACACTTGTTTTTTAAGTTATCTGATCGCTATTTAAAAGACTTAAAATAGAATAATTTTTCATGCGGTGGCATTATTATTGTTATAAGTGGTGACCTTTGTAAAACATTACCAATTGTCCCACATAGTCACCAAGCATAAATTGTTTTCACATCTGTAAGAATGAATAATCTATGGAGTCTAACAATTTCCTCTTTGTCTTGGATATTATTTGACAATTTTAAAATGCCAAGATCAAACATTTTATTGTATGGGCATCTACTTACCCTAGCCAATCTTTACTCATGGGCAGCTCTATGTTGCATTCTCAAGATGCACATCACTACAACAATTTACAATTCAAGTTGACACAACTCATACACAAGGCCATTTAATTCCATTCAATTCATCAACACTCACCATCAATACTGTATACAAAGAAGCTTTATATTAATTAACTCTTCTTCTACTACACTTTAAAACATAAAAAACAAACTATAATAAACTTTGTTTATTTTGTAACTTTCCCTATGGCCCAATGGATAGCAATGGGCTAGCAATGCCTGGTGCTAGAGATGGAGGCTCGGGAGCTTGCACCACTTGAGCATGGGGATCTTCATTGTACATAATGTATGTATGATAGCTTAGGCCATTGAGGAATGATCTACTTCCTTGCACACTAGATTGACACTAGATTCTCTAACTCAACACAAATGTGTGTGCTTGTGCTGGATATACAAATAGTGGGGAGATGAAGGACCTCTCCCCGGCAAAAGTCAACATCTCTCTGGCCAGATGATCTCACACAACAATAGATCCTATATCTTTTACACGCGTTTTATCTTGTTTAATGGTTTTTCCCAAGAGGGTTTGGATAAGCCCATTGCTGTTGTCCTTACAATCCTATCTAGCAACTCTTATTAGCTAAAGTTGTTGGATCTCAAGCCCAGGCTAGGGTTGGTAGCCATGGTTGTGGGAAAAATCACATTGATTTTTGGATGGCCAATCAATAATAAGCATGTTGGCTAGAAGAAAAGAAGCTCATTGGGTGTTGTGGGTGCAAGCCATGGATTAGAGAAGATATATGTTGTTCCAGGAATCACATTGCACCTAGGATAGGAGAAATTTGCCCATTGCCCTGAATCCATTCCCAACAACATGTACTCTTAGCATCGTCGAGCAATGATGAAGGATGATTGTGCCGAGAATTGTCATTGGGCTCACGCCACATAAAGTTTAAGGTTGCCCACAATCATTTGGAATTGACACTTCAATGGCTGCTGAATCAAAGCTCAATGCTTCTACTTTTGGTTGACCAGCACTAGAATTACTCCAAAGCTTCCAAGATCTAGACCAAGAAAGTAAGTCAAGTGTTGACACTGAGTGTTTTTTCATGCAGTTTTAGTGTGACAATCAGGAAGAAGAAGCTTTATGGTAGTTATAGGTGCCAGTAACTAGAATGCAAGTGTCTTGATGGGCTGGCCATACAATCAATAATGGCAGCCACTAATTTGGTCCTAAACCACAGCAATCTAGCCTTTTGTGTGCTGTGGACATTTGAGATGTGTTCATTTGGGTTTGTGGATGCTATTGAGTGGTAAAGCTGGAGCTAGAGCTAGCCTTCAATGCAACCAGAACCATTAGAGAGTTTGCAGTTCCTATTCTTCTATGTGAGAGAACAAGCCCAAAGTGAGTTCTTGAAGCCATAGTTTGCAAACCCCATCTACTTCTCATGGGCCCAAGTGTCGGGCGTGGACCATACTTGAGCTCACGAGTTGAGCTCAATTTTCAATTGTAATTTGATACAAACATTATAAATTTTAAAATTTTAAGGTTATGGCGAACCTAATAATTTAATAACTCTCTATATATTATATAGATAAAAATGTTCTAAAGAACACATTTTGTTCTAATAATTTAAATATTTACTACATGCAATGATAGGGACATTTGTTAGAACATAAAATAAAATGTTTGAAAAAAGAGTATTCTTGTCACTTCTTTAAATTTGTACTCTATGCTTTTTGGCTAGTAAATGTTAGGTTTGTCAGAATTAAAAAATTATTAAATTTGAAATAAGATTCTATGTGAAGCCATATAACCGTTTGAAAGGAAAAAAAATAACTGTTGATGTAAGCTTATTGCATATAAAAGAAAGACTTGGTTCTTTGTAGAATACATTCTTGAGGGGTTTGTCGTAGCATACTGTCTAGAATTTATAGATCTTCATTCACACTCTCATTCGAAAAAAGGGAAATACACCCATAAATGTCTATGGGTTCTAGTGTTGGTAATTTTAACTCTCACAATCTTTCTTCCCAGGGCTCAAGGGCTAGGAGATGCAATAACTATCCCATTGCACAACATAACCAAATCACACAAGAGAATGAAAGAGAGGATAGTGAGGATAGTGATCATGAGTTGGAGATAAATGCAATGACAGAGGGTGCAACAAATTGGGTGAAAAAGAATGCCCTCTTACTTGTTTTAGAAAAATGCAATTCTGCCACTTTCAAGAAGTGCCCCATATGTTTTCTAGCGTCTGGTGGAAACAATGGCAATGATCAGTATGATGGTATATATGCTCTTGCGACACACTGCAACATCACACACCCGAAAGACTACCATGAAATCTTTTTTGAGATGGTAAAGACAGAAATGGAGACACACGAGTACTATGGGCAGTATTGCGAGAAGAACACTCGGAAGCATATAAAATGAAAAGTGAAATGAAAAAGCACATTTGTATTAATTATATAAAGTATAATAAGTTTTATTGATAGAGAATAAACATCGATAGTGTTGGAGAAATCTAATTAGCTCCAAAAGTCTTTTGCAACTCAGCAATAGTAAGGCTTGCTTGGTGTATATGAATATCCACTTTAGGATACTGGTGCAAGATGTTGATGAAGATGTAGTACATATGCTTGCAAGGAGCATATGCCTTCCCATGTTCCTCACGCTTCGTAAAGTCTGGACATGTGCAAGAAGGAAAGTCGTGAATGGCAATTGTGTACTCTCCACCTTCTGTTTTGACTATGTACTCCTTTGCAAGCGCAGTGATGTACTTCGTGGAGAGAATCTCACACTCAAGTGTTTGAGCCAAGTTTATTTTACCTTGCTTCTACTTGGAGATGGTACCAATAAATTTAATTGCTTTACCTTTTCGTGCTGGCCTCCTGTGCATCTCTGTAGGAATAGTCCTGCTCCTGTCATTCATGTCTCCAACTCTCCTCTCAAGATTAAAATCAGATTTCTCAAGGTTTTCAATCTCATCCGAGGTGAGTGCGACCCCATTAGCAACCGGCCATTCTTTAGGTACTGCATCAGGTTTAGTCACTATAGTGTCTTCAAGCCGCTTCGTATGGTTGGCGTCGGTGTTGCAACAATATAGCCAGCACCATCTTGAAAATCCTGCTTGCTTTCGTTCCCCATAGAAACATGGGGCTGGAACAGAAGCAGATTTTTCACCACGAATCCAGGCCCAACACTTGCCCCTCGGAAGCATCCCCACACACCTTACATTTGATTTTGCTGGCACACGTCGGATTGCCCATTGCTTCGGCTCCACGCTACGGTAAGCAATTTCAACTTGTTGCGATGCACTCTCTTCATCAGCCACTTGAGGTGGCTCAGTCCGAGAGCGGTGTCTTGGAGCAGAATGGCACTCGACATTAGGCCTGTGGGAGCTTTTTGCTCCAAGGTCCGTACAAACATCTTCCCCAGCAAAGGAAAAACGATGCTTTGAGCGAACAGTTTTCATATCACCAATAGAAGCTCGGGGAGTGTACTCCATAGATGTGCCACGAACCACTTCCTCAACTGCAGTTGCCACTGTTCAGGCGGGTGGAGTTAATTTTCTCTTCATCCTATCATGTAACATCTCAACAGAAGGCCCTGTTCCCATATATCTTCCTTCCTCAAATGCCAGTGCTTTTGAAGATTGCTCTATAGCACATATCAAATTTGATAGACAGGCTTCGTATAGACTCATCTTCCCTTTCCCTGCCTCAGAGGAACGCCAACTCCAATGCTTACTTTCGGAGAGATTCACAGTTGGGGTGTATGCGAGGTCCTCAAGTGGTTGATCCTAATGGAAAAGGCAATATTAAAAGGTAATAAAAGGAGAAGAAAAAATATAAACCAACCTGAAAAGAGTGATGTCCCCATTGGAACATCCTAACTTCCCACCATCCTAACCATGACTCAAGTTGTGGTAGGCAACTTACGTCTGTATGGCCATCTTCACGCCACCACATTCGGATCTCATTTGCTTTTGCCTCATGCTCTTCTTCAGAAGGTGCAACCTGCCATTGTTTGCACAACTCCTTAAATAT